CCGAGGTGGCCAAATGCACTCAATCAGAGCCCAGACCACCCTGAAAAAATTCTTGACTGCTCACAAACGGCACAAGGTTAGGCTCGCATGGGCTCCATCTCATATTCAAAACAAATGGGAAATGGACAGTTGGCCCACTCAATTCAACAACATGGCTAACAAACTGGCCGGTGACGCAGCGAAATCAGACAGCGGACATCCGAAACAGAGATCTTTGTACGCAGCAGCCTACGCCGACACAAAAGTCAAGGCCCATAAGGCTTGGCAGGTAATGATGAACGGGACTAAATACCGCAGACGCTCAAATCTGTTAAAACAGATGGAGCACAAGCTTATAATCTCTAATAGTAAGCACTACTCCCTCCGCCACTTTGGACATGACCATCGTCTGTATGCATGCATGACCCGATTCATGACTGGACATTTCCCACATGGAGACTTCCACAACAAAATGAATCTTGACAGTTCTTGCTTATGCACATGTGCAGACATCCATGAATCACAAGACCACATTCTATATGAATGTCCGTACTGGATCAGACCACAAGGTATCAGGCCGCCTAAACGGGTATCAGACCAGGTGCGCATAGAGCTCATATCTGCGGGGAAACAGCTGGAGCTCCAAAATAAAGAACAGCAGGTGTCAATTGATGACATTCAAGACTTTCTGTCACTCAACCTGTTAGTAGGCACATTCAAGTGGCAAGACTTAATGGAACACTTACGATCAGATGTGTTCCCTGAACATGAGAGAGATGCCCCAGGGTGGCAATTCCATCTAATATACTTAGCCTTTGATGCCCTGGTCCTTCAGCAACCGGCCCTTTTCAAAAAATACCACCGAGAGACTCGCAAGAGGAGAACGCCGCCCACATTCCTGCAATGGCTCTTCTCACGAAAACGATGGCTCATCAAACATGTCTGGGCCAAATACAAACGCATGCACCCTGGCACACAAGTGCAGTTCCAGGACGTTGCGCCAGACTGGCTGAAGTTAGTCATGACTGCAGCCCGAGTACCTCTCAAACCAGAAAGTTACAAAGAAGGCGAAGACAAGACCTCCGACTGGAAACAGGATGGCCAAACGGACATTGCTGAGTTTGTATCTTCAACCGTGGGATCCTCTGCATCCAAGGACCTAATTTTATTACCAGACATCAATAGCAGGAAGGAGGTAGCCCCTGACAAGCATGTGGACCGTTCCACGGACACATTGCCAAGCCTGCCGCCACAACACAGACCACTAAACCCTCTCTTTTCTTAATGTCCGCTATATTATCAGAGCTCACAGACTCCCTGCACCAGCATCGGACGCTCGTAAACAGGTGTTCATTACCCTACATAGGTAGCACTTTAAACACAAGAGATTTTTTTTAAAAATACTCACTTCCACAGCCAAATCCACCGGTCGACATCCTTCTACTAGGAACCACCGAACGTCCATAAGAGGCGAGCTCGCCAATTCTTGCCCTCTATCAACAAATTTGACCACGTATGGCACGTCGTCAAGGAGAGCGGAGATACTGTGCTAGAGTTCTGCAGTGGTCTGCTGGTGCGCCTCTTCAACTTTGTGTGAAGAGACTCAGCCTGACACCTGCTGTGTTTGGCTCGCAGCTTCCGTGACTCTGCTCATGGATCTTCATATATAGAGCCAAAATATTGGCTGAATTAGCCTTTTGTTTCTGCCTGCGCTTCTCTCTCAAAGAGCACACATCACGCTTACACTGACGATGACAACAATTACAATGTTAACGACGATATCAGTCCCAGTGTTCGATGCTGTGAGCTCAATCTCATGCACAAACGCAACTGCTCGTGAGACCTCGATCAGCTCTCCGATGTGCAATGCGTTCTCGCACCAGGGCAGGGGCCTGACGTGTATGCCGCATGCGCACCCAGCCATGACCCCCGTATCGTGCTTTCATAGGACGGGTAATCAGTTCACCGCCAATGTACGTTTGTGCGTCTTGCTCTTTATGACAGAACTTGACGTGACATCTAGGACCCGCACGTCGCGTAGCTCTTCTTATTGCTCAAGAAAGATGGTCGCAGCAGCAGATGGCATATACCAGGTGTGATTTACTTTCCTCATGCGTTCCAAGTGCACAGCTGAATGGGACCTTGTACAGGCAGGAATCAGCACTTACAGGGCACCCCAAATCTCTATGCCCCCAGCATTCAAGATATCCAAGACCCTCGGCTGGACAATCGCTCAGAATCTCAATGCACATTCGATGGGTCTGCGAGTCTCGGTTTGAAGCAGGTGGTGTTGTATCTGATGTCTGTCTGTCATTTCAGGCGTATATGAAATTTCAATGCAGAACAGTAAGTTCTCGGCCATTGCATTTTTACTTGAGCAGAATGCTGAATGCCTTTGCAGACGAGGCAGATGACAAGATCCACATTTTTTCTCGAGGTGCATACACCACCCGTGCGCTCGCTGGCGTAATCAACGAAGTCGACCTGCTCCCGACATGCAACCACCAGCAGATGCCATACGAGAACAAGGTGTACACGTGCACGACACCACTTGGCTAGCAAAGGGCACACTCTCAAGAAGATGTTCTCGGCAGACATCGACATCGAATGAATTGGCGTCCGGGACATAATGTGCTCAGTCGGTTTTCTTGCACTGGATGCCGTTCACAGTAGGCAACACTGCCGTGAAGACGTTCAACATGTCGCCAGCCTCGATGAGTGGTGCGGCAAGTTTAAAGCAAACTTGTTGAAATGGTCATGAGAGGACGAGGATCAGCTCAGCATGCAACTAGGGGACATGCCCAAGGCGAGCCAGAATGATGAGCTGG